CACGGATGCTATTCCCTCCTAAGGAAAGCAGGCACTCGCCAGGTATTAGAGAAGCAGCTTTTAACCCCAATAAAGGATTTATGCCGGGTGTATTTAAGACTGAACAAAGACTAAGGAGAAGCTCTTTTACAGCTCAAGTTTGTGCTTTTATCTTTTTCAACATAGGTATTCCAGTAGGAAAAGGTAAAACAATAATTCCCCTGCCTTATTCTTTGGCAAGTATTGCTTTGAGTGGTGATTCAGACCCACGCTAAAACATTCATTTACGATAATTTGGGGAACAGCAGCACCCCTCCGTGACTAATGTATTTAAGTCAGAGCGGGTCAGCATCTCCAAATCCCGGGGTGACCCAGTGAGCTGCCGCTTGCTGCCGAAATCACCCCTTACGACTTTAGGGGAGAGGGAACTACCAAACCTCGATGACTCGGGCTTGTTTCCACAAGGCATGTGTGGAGGGGATTTTTGGGGGCTCCTGTGGAGTCCTGCACCTCGTCTAGGTCTCCTGGGGTCTCCTGCCCTACCTTTCTATGCTTTGAGGTGTCCACGGTTAGCCCCGCACGCCGGTGCGCTGCACCAGGCTAATCATCGGCACGGAGAGAAAGGATATTGTCAGAGTGCAAAATGATCTGTTTTCAGGCAGGAAGCAGTCAACTAGATGTAAATTCCATGAAACAAAAGAAGGTATTATTTACAGTTTTATTGTGATGTTAATTAATATTTACATCTTGGAATGAAAAATAGAAATGTTAATGATTGGCTTTACTAAGAGGATCACTTGATGCCAATGTGAAAGCCAGGGAGAGAAGGCAATTATGCAAACATCACATGCATCCTAATTTCAGTATGGAAACTTACATTTCAAACCTCAATTCAGGAAAATAACATGGAAAGTTTGTACTACAAAATCTAAACATGAGAAAGATTTAAGAGAAAAAAAAGCACATTGCATATGTCAGATAATCTAGTCTGATTATCTGAGCTGTGCTAGCTACAGGGAAGCACTTACCCTTGAGTCCAGCTAGAAGTTAGCAGGGTAAGAAGGAACAAACCAGAATAACATAAAGACTAGCAACAAGGCTCAGGAAAGCAGACAGGAGCCCTAACCTAGCAGCTAAATATTTGGGTTCAAGCAAAGAATGAAAAAGAAACTTAAAGAAAATCAAACCAACCAAAAAAACCAAACACTTACAGCTGAAAATTTCTTAAGCAGCTCAATAAACCTCGCTACTTATTATGGGGGAACAAATCATTACAAATTCTCAAAACAACCAACTCTTTGTATATGGTGTGATTAACAGTCGTTAAATATAAACAGACATTAAAAAATGAAATATAACCACAAGTGATACGTAAAACAAGTACGGACCAATCTTTCATGGGAAAAAGAAAAGGATTTTAAACAAAAAATGACTGTTGAGCATGTTTGGGAATTTTGTTTGATGCATCACTAACACAGAACGAACAAAGATTGGTGCTTTCAGACAAGTGACCACTTTTATGAAGCTTAAATATTGCCAAAAGGTGTAATATGTATTGGCAGCATTATTGACTATAATACTGTGCATGATTTCAACAGTAAACAAGAACGGTTTGGGGTTTTTTCTTTTATAATGCGAACACTGGAGAAAAGCACAGCTTTGCGTGAATGGAGTTTTTCTGTTAAATTGTAGCAAAATAAAAAAAAGCAAAACTTTTCACTCTAACAGGTATTGTTCACCCACATAAAAGGGATTGTAGAGTCATACAAAAATTAATGAATAGCAGGATCTATTTTTTTCAGTACTTAAAATTGCAAATAAAATAAACTCCACCCTGGTTCAGAGCTGTCTGTTTACTTCCAAGTCAAGCGCTGCTATTGAACTTCAGATGAGAATTTAAGTGCTGCTGAAGTTTGTGTTTACTAAGTCGAAAGAGGTGGGAACCGAATGAATTCACTATTTCTCCCAAGCTTCCCCAACAGCAAAATACGTTCTTCTCCAGTTTCTGTTTAACAGACAGCTCCATCACAGGAGCGGAGGGCTGGATTTTGTCTGCATGTGCATGCATGCGCATGTGCCATCTCGGACTGCTACAACATGAAAGCTATAACAACAGTTACTCATCAAATGGCTTAACATTTACTTCTTTGCACATCCTCATTCATCATAGCCTCTAATAAGCACAAAGAAATACGACAGGTATAAAGATAAATGTACAAGAGTAAAATGTCTCGCAAAAATCCTTACCTTTCTGCAGGCAAAAAAATAACAAACCAAGAAACCCAAGCCAAAAAAACCCAATAACAAACCGAGACTCTTTTAAAAATGCAATACTTGATATGTTTGAATTTCAAGACTGAAGGAGCTGAGATACGTTATTTGTGCATTTAAGACTCCGGATAAGCCATCGTGTGTGGCACGCATGACTCACTTCTGCTTCTGCTTACTTAACTGCTGCACCCGATGACTTTTGCAATGTGCATTGCCACGTACAAACGTTGAAATATGAAAAATGGGGAGGTCTTGTTGTTAAGAGGAAGGTGTACTGTGGCTGTCGTCCTCCTCCTCTTGTAGGAGGAAGGTCCTGTGCACAAAGAGCTTTCAGAGGGATATAGATTCATGGAAGGAGGAGGAACAAAGACCGAGGACAAAACACATCAGCCCAGAGGACAGTAGCAAGTCATCATCATCAGACTCAGGAGCCGACTGGTTTCCCCCTTCCAACACAACCAAAAGGGTTTTCCAGTGCCTGCAGCAAAAGGGGAGCCTGAAGTTGCCCAGCTTACGGGGAAAACACATTGTGGGTGGAAAGAGGGTGTTGGAGTAAAAAAAGCCGAATGATCCAGATTTGGAGCTGGTATTGGCATAAGAACAAGTGAGAGATCCTGACCCCCTCAGGTGCCCTGGAGGGACCAGGGGGTGAAATCTCAGCTGTTTTTACCCGAAGTGAGGATGAGGGAACCCTGCCTCCCGGCAGGCAAGCGAGATGATAGAAAAAGCAAGGTCAAATCTGTGGCATTTCTATCACTTTGAACACAGTCAGGCTGATACAGGTCTGCCAGACCACGAGCAGCACAAGTCTCCGGTGGATGTGCTGGGCTGTGGTTAGGTGCAGACAGGACTCCTGGGCTCAGTCACTGACTTCGCTGCTCCCTGGCAAGGACTAGGACAAAGCCATCTGCCCCTTCTCCATCCCAGGTAACCTAAGCAGGGGGGTTCAGCTCTCCCCACACACACAGCGCTTGGCTGTGCATGGGGACCACACACCCGAAGGTCCATGGCCCTGGGCATCACCTTTCACTTGACCCCACATATTGGTCTGGCAAAGTGAAAACTCCGTAAACCTCAGGAATTTACCCAGCAGAAAAATTGTCCAGGCCTGATGTCTGCAGGGGTGGGAGAAGACTGGAGGGAAGGGTGCTTCCCCAGTTTGATGGTCTCTAATCCACAGGGATCAGGCTGGTAGGAGCAGGAGCGCATCCTCTTTGCACCAACCACACAGCTAAAAGCATCCTTCAGCATCACTTGTTAGGAGAGGGAACCACATGCAGCATCCCTCTGCCGCTCTCCCTTACTACACTCGAAGGCTTTTAGCATGTAAAAAAGCAGCCATAGAAGGACCTGTGCCTGCTACATCCCAGAACCGGGGCAGGGGGATGTACACCCCCGGGAGTGCTCTCAGGTCAGCACAACTCAGCCAGGTCTGGAAGCTAATCACAACCAGTAAACTTCCCACTTGTGAAAGCCCAATTCCTACCTCCCATTTTGGCTTTCTGAGAGGTGTCCTTCCTTCCCAACCCCAATCCATTACACCTTGCACCCCCAAAGCCAGTCACCTGAGTGGGATGAAGAAGATGAGGGTCACTGAAATGAAAATAATGAGTATGGGTTTACCATGCTGCATCATGCCACGTCCTCACTGACAGCAGCAGCAATGCAAGGTAGGAGGGAGCCCAAAATATGCACGAATGTGGAGGATACCCAAAAAAAAAAAAAAAAAGAAAAAGCAGCAAGCAGAGGTTTTCTGCTGTAACACTGATCACACAGCTGTACCTCTTGCATTGTTATTTTCTATAAATATTGACATGAAGAAGTGAAACCAATATAAAAGACGGTCAAATGATATTGATCAGCAAGGGGCAGATTTTCTGAGATCCTTACAACAAAATACTCCATAACAACTTTACAGAGACTTTTAAATGTTAAAATCTGATTTCACTAGAAGAATTTGCTATTTACCACTTTTCCTTATTTTACTTATATTTGATGATACTAATTCTTAAACTTTGCTGAAACTAGCAAGAACTGCTATATGTTACATAACAAAGGGGCTCCAGACGTGTGATCGAGACCTTCAGGAAGAATGAGCGAGGAGGCATTTGTCTGGTTTATAATCAAATTACATTTGCAAGACAAAAGAAATTGCTCTAAATTTCAAATTAAGCAAACTGGGTATAACTGCACAGGACATGCAGCATAGCTACGACTTAAAAGATGATTGCTTTAAATTCACATCTAACTGGCCTGCAAAGCAACCTGTTAAAAATACCATATGTTTTCCTACAGTTGAATATTCAACAGGAGACCTCTTTTTGTGTGTGCATTTCATACTTGCAAGATTTGCACCTGTAGTTCTGAGCACGTGATGCATTTGATAGACAGCTAATGGCGCTAATGAATCGCTCTGATGTGGGTGTACAGTTTATTGTGTGGGGGTAAAAAGCGTGTCTGCAGAAAGCAAGCTGGGTCTCAGGTTCTCAGATCCCAGTCTCTCCTCCATCAAGTATTGCACTTTAAAATACTCATTGACAAGTTCCCCAAGGAATTTTGTTTCTTGGGTTTGGTTGTGCTAAACACACAGGTTAACTGCTTCTCGATCCACTGATGTAAAAAGCAGCTTAATGATAATGAAAAAAATTTCATTTTGGAGTCAGAAACACATGTGCGAATATTGATTTACATCAGTGCAGAAAATCTTTCCATCAAAGACTTCTGCTCTCTAGGAGAACTTATTTACTTACAAAATTGAGAGATTGGGGCATCTAGCTGGGGTACATTTCCTCCTTTAGCATTTAGCTTTTGCACTTGGGTAGGCGGCACAGGTTTGTGAGACTGGCCGGTGGCTCGGTACATGGCTTGGACCCACAGGATACGGTCCTGCTCATCGTCACTTGCAAAAATCACCGTGTCGCCTTCCTTCACCGCGTTGAAGAATGCTCTGCCGCCCTCCAAACCTGGCAGGAGAGGAAGCGACAATGGAGTTTCACAGACTTTGAGGCCAGCGAAGGGATCTCCCCCAGCTTCCCACCCCACCACCACCACCAGTGTCCTCAGCCAGCCCCGCGCTTCCCCAGCCCCTGGCTGAGCTCCATCCCCTCCCCTGTGCCAAACTCGCCTGCAAGAGAGCCCGCCAGGTCCCCAGGTAGCGCCTGCCACCACAATTACTAAAACATGCCCCAACACACGTGGATAAATTGTTTCTCTCCCCTACAGCCCCGTCTGTGCAGGTCCCGTGCGAGTTGCACCACTGGAGCGCCATTAAAATGGGTTTTGAGGGGATGTGGCGGGAGGTTTCCTGTTACACTGAGTGCATCAGTGCTCACACTGCACGGAACGTGCTGGGTCATGTGCTTATTTCTGTCTTTGCCCTGATTCAGCACCCATCTTCCCATCTCCCTAACATGAGAATTAACCTGGAATCAAGGTCTTGACAACCAACCTACTGTGCCTTTCTTCATCTCCTCTGGGGATACCATTATCCAGGGCATGGTGAGGATCACCACGCCCAACGTGTGGCACCACTGAAACAAAAGAAACGTGGTGCTCCTCCACTTGATGAAGGGTCTCACCACTCAGCAGGTACCTCCAGGTACCAGGGGGCTTTCTGTCCCTGCCCCTTCCACTCACATCCATCAGAGAGAAAATGGGACAGGCAAAAATGCTGGGTCGGTCCCATAAATATTTTCTACAATAAAGTCAGGCATAGCAGCTAACCTTTTATTTAGGGAACGTAATCTGGAGGCACAGGTTAGGATCATCACTCCATTTGAGCATTCACTTCGCAATCAAATTTCACTGGGATTTAAGCGTCTAATTCACTTAGGCTCCCCAGAAGAGACGAGTCTTTCCCTCCTCTGGTGCAACTCCTAGCTCCATTCCTTAGATCTATTTATAGCAAAGTCATGCATAGCTAATGATCAGTATAAACACAAACATATTTAGAATAATGCTGATCACAGTTCAGCCGCAAGCAGGGAGAGAGAGAGAGAGGACTCCCGTTCGGGAGCCGTACGCAGCGTGGCGAGTACGAGCACCTGCGGGCGCACAGCCAGCCGTCGGCCCCCGTACCTGGCTGCGGGTCGGTGTAGTCCACAGTGTATCCGTCGAGCTGCAGCAGCTCTTGAGGTTCAGCTTTTTTCTCCCGGTAGCTGCACATAGCAAATGTATATTGACTAACCTGAAGAAAATCACAAAGCTAAGATGGCACCGGGTGGTCACCACAAGGCAGTACAAAGCGCTTACAAATGCCGTACGCTGACGGCGTGTTTACAGGGACCGGGGGCAGTGGGGTAATTTTGACGGTCATTGCCCGTACGAGATAGACTAAACTTTTTACCAGGCTTTTGCAAAGCTCTCTCTTAACACACCCTGCTGCAGCAGGCATCAAATTCTCCGCATCAGTACATACAGCGGTTTAATTTCCTCCAAAAGAGGAAGCTCCACGCTTTAAAACCTTCTATCATTCATCCCCAGACAAGTGCAAGAGTGACACCCTGTCACAAACAATGTGAGCTAAATTGCTAGGTGCCAGTCATATTAAAGCAATCTTAAGATCCCACTGATCTCGGCAGTTGTTGTCATCAGTGCTGTAAATGGCAGCTCTCACTCCTCTGAGGTACCATCTGCATGACACGATACATTCAATGTCAAGCTCTTGACGGAAGCCGACTCAGCTGCGGGGGCTCTGCCAGGCTCCCGAATCGCCTTCAGGAGGCCATCAGGCCGCATCAAGACCCCGCGCGTACTCGGCGTGCTGCAATCTGGATGGTCGGCGAGAAGCTCGACCGGGGAGGAGAGGAGAGGAGAGGATTCTCCGTGCCCCAGGCTAGGACCTCACGGGGAAATTTACTGTCAAATGATTTCGAATGACTTTGTTAAGGTTGTGTCACATCCTGGATGCCTGACGTAGTTTTATTAGTCTGGACATTTTCTTGATCTCTGGAGAAAACTTTAAAACTCCGGTGGGTGGCAATGGATCTTGCTCGTCATTTTTTGGAAGTCGGGAGAGATCCTGAGTGATGGGTGAGTGGCTGGGCTGGGGGATTTTGCCTCCAAACTCCAGGCAAATCGCTCAGCTACAAATACGCACGCAGCACCTATTTTGGTGGTATCTATCACTAATAAAATGTCATTTATTTAATTCAGGGGACCCGTTTATTGGCATAGCGTCTCCCAGCCGGTGCTCGGTATATTGCTGCCCTCTACGGGCTTCTGCTAGCTGCCAGCCTGCTCTCAGCAGCCCTGCCTGCACCGTGCCTTCCTCCAGGAACAGCTCCAAAAGCCACCCAAGAATAAACCCTATCATTAACACATTTGTGGGAGTAAGACTAAAAGTGATGCTTTAAGCATCTTGCATCCTCCTCAAAACTACCAGCGCTGACGAAAGATTGACAAGTAACAGACCAATAGCAGGAGCACACCAGTGCACATTCTATGCTATGAACTTTGAATGCATACCATCGTACCGGCAACATAAAAATTAAAAAGATTAACACGAAGAAATCTAAAAATAACCTGGTGCCCCACAGCACAACATTCAGACGACTCCTGCAGTGTTCATTCAGTGGTACTTGCGGTATATTGCTGCCATCTCCTGGAGAAACTCTCGAATGTGCTTTATTTTCAGCAAGATCCCGGAGATTTCATCTGAGCAAGTGAGGATTTGGTTTCTCTGTGTTAGACAGCCTGAACTTCAGGGACTGCGTGATAAATTTAATTCCTGAAATCTGTCAGTGCTACCCTACGCTAATGTTGATTGAAAACACTAATACAACTAATGCTTTCTTCTTCTCCTATATGTTCTATAGCAACAGGTAAAATTCACTCAGTAGTTCAGGTTCTTCTTCTCTGACCCTGAACACAAGGTCTGAATTTCAGGCTCTTCTTCATGCACAAATAATTCCTCTCACTTTGGACCCAGAAAATATTCTTCATCCCTATCAACGAGCCAACCATACCAACACAACAGTAATGTATGGGAACACACACAGGCATTTCAGAGCTTCTACTCGTCATGTAAAAAGTTACAAATATAGACGTAGACAGTAGGCTCCGGTGGAGCCGTCCTGGGACAGAGGCAAAGCAAACTGGTCTCTCCTGTTAGCATTCACATGATTTCCTTGGAAGAAGCTGTCCTACATCATCATTAGAAGAGACCTCTAAGAGAAACCTACAGGTGAGTCTACAGTGTGCGACGAGCCAGGGCTCGTCTGGGTTCACGTCCTGCTTCTCTGCTCACACAGCTCAAGTCCGAAGCCCAAGCTCAGGATTGCCCCAGAGCCTGCTGGCAGGAGGCAGGCTGGGCTCAGCTGGAGGGAGGAGAAAGCTACCCGCGGCCTCTGGAAAAGGTGCCAACGGTGCCGTGCAGAGCGCCTGCACCTAAACAACTCCAGCTACTGACTTCAAGGACCGGCATACCAGCCCGTCTGTCCTATCCTGCTGCCTAAAGCATTTACTGCTCGGGGTAAGAAAGAAGCTGATGCCCTGGCTACCAGTGCAGTGTGGGTCCTTTCATTTACGAGCAGTGGTAAAGCAAAACCCACAAAATGAGATTCCAGAAAGCTCGTTATGTCACAATCGTGCTCCGCTGCTGAACAGCACTGTAGGGTCAAGTGGAGATTGCAGCTTGCCTTTCATCAGTCCTCTAAAATATCGTGCTTTACAGAGCCTGCTTTCTTTAGAAGCTTAGAAGTGGCCAGACAAGTGAAACAGTTAATAGCAGAAATTAATCTTACAGCCTGCTGAGTTCACACCGAACCATAGCTGAGTATGAGAGCGAGCGAGCAGATGGGATGGGCAAGATGAATGGTTTGAGTAATTGGAAAAAGCACAGATAGAGAGAGGAAACTGAAGGAAGACAGAGGAGAAAATTCTGCCCAGTGAGGGACAAACTCTCAAAGCAGCTGGGATTTCATCCAGGGACTCAATGAGGGCCAGGAAAGGAGCATCTAAGGAAGCTAAACTAGCAAAACTAAAAGGAGGGAAATAATCCCAGGCTGCCCTGGCTGGTTCATTACAAAAAAGGGAAAACACTTTGAGAAATAATTTGAGACAAAAGAACAGAAGGAAAAGAAAGTGGGGAAAAAAGATAAAAAGACAAAGAAATTCAGGAAAGGGGAAGCAGACAGCGGGAGACAAACGCCAAAGTTCACTATTCCCAGGCTGCTAAATTAGATCTGACTTTCTTGGCACTCGACCATATTCTGTCACCAGCTATATAATCCGACTGATTAATAAATACAGTAGATATGTATTAACCAGTCCTGACTTTGTCCTTGTTTTTCCACCAGAGACTCCTGCTCTAGCGAGCACCGCTTTCCCCAGGATCCTGCTCAAACCTGTTAATTGTCATCCCTCGCACTCCGAGCTCAGTCATCCGCCTCCCCCTTTCTCCGTGTTGACATAACACCGCCCCACTTGGGTTAAATTCTTAAATGGACCTTTCCTAGATTAACAGCATGCATTTTGTCCCAAGGGAGAGAAACTGTGCTAAGATACTGCCAGCTGTAATACAGCTTTCCACTTTGATGGGAGACTCTTGTCCTCTGGTTGCAGCTGTATGTTGCCTCCCAAGCCCTTTCCTGACACAAATGAGCAGAGGAAATGATCTAGCTTAAAAAAAATAAAAGTGAAAACAACAGTTTTCACATCTCAGCACATCCATTGAGCCCTAAACAATTGCACACAGCAGTTGTCCCAACTTCTTCCTTCAAGCAAGAGGTGTGCGTGTGTTCTCCTCGGGCAGGGTTGCGTGATGGGAACCCATCCCGCATGAGTACGGATGGGACGTGCAAGCATCTGTTCAACCAGCAGTTCCCCAACATTTTTTACTTATCATCAACACTCAAGGTTTCTCAAGAATCACCACCTATGCTGAGTTCTCAGTGAGGGTCTAACTGAAAACACGATTTAATATGATTATGGGGATCAGCTACGGGTCATTTACCCTGACTTGAGGACCACAGTCTAGGACTGCTGGTGTAGAATACTGCAATTTTGCCAAATTATTTTCAAATTCTGTTGGTTATTTGGAGTTACTGAACAGTTACTTCATTTCATTTTATCCCAAGTCAGCTGAGTTTTGCTAAAAGCAGGAACTGTCACTGTTAGTCTGAATTATAATGAGTTCAGGGAGTCTGTCACTAGAACAATAGATCCAGGCGTAGACACTGCAACTGGTTTTAATCTGCAGAGAGTTGATCTGGTTCCAACAACATTCTGCAAACACCATCAGACACAATCAGCTGAAAACTGCTTCAAGCTACTCAGCAGACATGTCATCCAGGTACCATGGAGTGTTACTTCCCATATGCTGCCAGAGCACAGAAATGGGGTTATGACAAGAGAAGAACAGATTCAGTCTGAAATTTCCATGTAATTAATTCACTTGCCCTTAAGAATCTTTATAAGAAATTTCCTATCGCAAAGCCAGCAAACCCACCAGAACCAACAATAGTGTTGTTGCCAGTACAGCACATTAGACCTTGCAAAGAATTAATACAAGCTCTGTCAGCTATCAAAAATCCCAGCTTTTGCATGATCGAGGGTCTAATTGGCAAACTGGCTGAAATTTGTATGCTCTGCTCAGGCAGCTGATACAGCAACTTAGGAAACACTTACATCTGTGATGGATGTACATTTTCTTTCCTAACCAGTCACAGAGAACTTTGCCCTAGATTGCTCCATTGCCTTCTCTTACCACTGCCACTGGCGTTACTGTTGCCTTTACGAAGCATTTTCCTCACTTGTGATGCTGCGGACCATTTCCATCCAAGCTCAGGGCCATATTCTGCCATCGCTTTCACGCTGCATATCTCAGGATTTAAAATTAGGCAAGTAACGAGTCTCTGCCATGTAATTTACATCTAATCAGTATTCTGCTCTTCTGCTGCTCATCTCAAAGGGTGTCTACGAGAAGGGTGGGCAGCGTGCAGAGAGGACTGCGATTCATTCGAAAGAGATAACTATCCCCTCCGAATGCACGGGTGCACGCTGGAGGAGCATAGGCACCAGCTCTGCCAGCCGTGCCATGCTGTAAACCTTCCCCGAGGGGTTGAACCAAGTCCACCCAGCAACGCCTGTGCTGGAGAGGTGAGGCCCAGTTCTAGAAACGGCACAAAGGAACAGCTCTCACCCACTACACCCAAACAAATCATCTCCACTCCTGTACAACCCTCGCAGTTACACAGACACAGAAGGTGCGAGGGATTATTCCACCCAAATTACAAGGCAGTTATTGCTCCTTTCCTCTTCTCTCCAGGGTTTTCACAAGCCAAGTAGCAGTGGAAACGCTCCCTGCAGAGCTCCTTTTTCTACATACCCGTGCAAAGCCTCCGTTCATACCCGCGAGGCATCACTGACACAATAGAGACAAACTGCCATCAACACCTTCCTCCTTGGTGAAGCCCATGCAGTTTGGCACCTTTGTGCCTTGTTTAGATCGTTATGAAGAGTTTGAGTATTTATTACCATGAATTTCTTAACTGCTGGTACCAGGAGGCAGAGCAGTACCCCCCAGTAGCACTGAAGGAACTGAGGCTGCATCCATCTGAAACGGGGAAAGAGGGGCAGGAGAGGGCACAGGATCAGGAGGAGGAGGTTACCCTGCAAGGGACGGGAGAGGAGACAGAGCTGCAACAGAAGATGCTACAGGTAAGGGACAGAGGCAAGGGATCAGAAAGAAAACGTTTAGTTATTCATCTGAAGATACAGCCTTGCCCTCTGGGCTGACCAGACCACTGTGTCCCAAATGGACTTTATGCTTTGGACTCCATCTCTCGGCTCTGGTGCAAGCAGGAGCCTGGTGCAGATGAGCAAGCTCTTGAAACAGGGGCTGCTCCTTGTCTGTTTTTTTACGTAACGGAGCCAGCTCACCTTCCTGCGGGGGTTACTCCCTGTCTGCAGTTTAGCAGAGTTCAGAGCATCCTGGACATCAACACCTTTGCTGCCAATCCCTGTTCGTATCGGCACCCATCCTTTGCATTGCATGAAAAGCAAATGACAAACATACGGACAGCAAAGTATTTTTATTCCATCTTTATTGCCTGCTGACATGTTCAATATGCTCAAACTACATCTGAGGGACTGCATAGAGAGTGTTTCTTGTTTATATTTGATGTACGGCAGAACACTTTACATTGCACCAAATGTTGAGCAAACGGTAACATAACAGAGAAGCTGCAGTGGCAGCTGGAATTTCTGAGGTGGGCTACAGAGACTCTCTGAGGGCAAAAGTCTGCTCATCTTATTCAAATGAATTGCTTTTCTGGCCAAATTCTCCTCTTATATGCCAACTGACGAATACAGACCTAGTAACATGAGAAAACATGGAATAACTCTGAAAGCTTCAATTCCACAGCAAGCTGAAGAATATATAGCAACTGAAAACTAGAGAAGTAACTGCAACCGCACAGAATGGCCAGAAGAAGGGCTCCTTGAGAGAGACATGGGAATCCATGTCCAAAGCTGCAAAGCCTTGCACAGAAGAGTGTCAACAGATTTATTTATGGGAGAAGTTATGTTAGGAAAGAGGATTCTCTGCTTTGAAGAATCCCTGTTCATAGTGAGAAAGGGACTGAGAACTCCGTCTAACAGGAATGAATTGTCTCTGAGGGGAAAGCAATACTTGTTGCCCTACAGGTGATCACAGACTGTCACAGCACTTCTGACTTCATTTCAGAACATAATAAAGGAAACATACAGAGAAAAGCAATCCCTCAATCCCTGCCCACGAACAGGGTCACTACATAATGTTCCCAAAATGCCCTTCATTACGGCCTCTGTTGCTTCTTATCCAGGACACAGTTTGGGATTTATCTCCAGCTATCTAGCTCTGCAAGACTCTGGGCTCCCCTGCGAGGTGCCAAGCACCCTACCTCACCAGGTAGGACCAGGTAGGACCTGCTCAGCCCCTGCACAGAGGGTGCATTCGCAAACCAGATGCCTCTAGGAATGGATTACACAGATCCTAAAGCCATCACTTTTACCTAAATATAAATATATTGCTTGGGCAGATAGAGGCATCTCCTGTGGCTGCTCTACCCTAACTCCCCCACTTCGTGTCCATTTTGACCCCATTACAAAATGAGCACTTAAACTGTCACTGCTGATCATACTTGGTTACTGGACAAAGTACTCAACTGGTCTCTCCAAATAGGCTCCTACGTACATGGGTCATGCACATCATAAATCCCTTTTACCCTCCCAGGATGGATTTTCTTATCTGCCACATAGTTTAGCTCTACAGAAGCCAGCAGTGATAGACAAACGGGGAATGCAATTAAGCTTACTACTGAGACAGTTAAACTTGGAGCAATAATTAACTCCAAACAAACTAACCAGTTTACACCAGGTGATTTAGGACCAGAGAAGCCAGCTGTGTAAGGTGGAAGATGGACTGCGTGGAGTCCTCCCCTTACCGTCACAGGAAAGCTGGCACACAAGCACGCTCCATCCCGAGTGTGGAGCCTGGTGCACCTGGTTCACACCATCTCTGTTCTTACACATGGGTGAAATCCCGGCCCCTCTGCAGTAGACCTCCCATCTGCTTCATCGGCAGTAGGATTGCACCCTCTGACTTGATCACTTCAGATCTGTGCTGGCACAAGATCTCAGCTGCATCCCATATTATTCCATCAGAGCATCTCTGTGTTGCTTTCATCAGAGGACCCTGCACAAGGTTTTTGTTTCTCACACTTGGAGACAACATACCCTGGGGAACCCAGAGAGGAGGGAGGGAGAGGTGGACCCAAGAGGACTCTGTGGCTTTATCAGGTTGGTGGGAAGATGGAGCTGCTGGGGCCTCACACTTCTGTGGCCAATGCAGTGGTTTCAGCTGCCCTTGGGAAGGTGAGGGAAGATCTAACACATCAAGTACTGACTAGATCCTTTTAAGTCACAGCGGACATCTGCCTGTTTCTTTCAAATTCTTAACCATGGTACAACATACACGTCTACTGACACTGGGAGGGCAGAAAGTGAAGAAAAGAAAAAAGGGAAAAAGACAGACATTGCAAAATGATCAATGAGAGCTGTAGACAATGAGAGGTCGTAATGAATGTGAAGGCAAGATAAATGTCAAGAACGATATACTGACTCTAATGTAGCCAGTGATGGAACTTCTGTAGATTTCAACGGACTTCAAATTTTACCTGGAGGCTCAAAAGCAGCATTTGCACCTAAGTACCTTCAGCCAAGACAAACGGAGCTTCCTCCTCATCTCATGAATTCCTCATTAAAATTGGTTCTCTATTTCACCAAGCATTCATATGCATCAGAAAAAAAATCCATGACTTAACAGACACCCTATGCAGAACCACAGCTCAGCATCAACCGTACAGCTCTGAAAATAGCCAGAAGAAAGGCTTAAAGATTTCATGTTGTTATTTAAGATCACTTCTAGTTAAATCTGTTACCTGGACCAGGACAAAGAATCGTTTCTTCCATCTCTTCCAAACGTTTTTACCAATGGCCCATAAATACCTAGGAAAAAAGAATAGGTGCGCTCAGTACACAGGGGACTATTTGTTGTTCTCTTGCATTTCAGTATGCTTTCTTTACACCTAGAAACTGAAGTTAATGTACAAACAGGAGTAATTACAAGACTCCTAAGCTCAGCAGCATTCATGAATGTGTTTATTTCTAGCCTGAACAAATAACCTGTAAAGAAAGTGACACGCAAAGCTCCCAGAGTCTTAATGTTACACAATATTAATTCTCTTTTCCTCTGTCTTTCACAACTTGCTCAGAATTTAGAAGCCCTTTAATGCCAGTGAATAGCTATGACATGGTTGGATGGGTGAAGAATACATTTGCAACGGAAAAATTAAGGGAGAGAAACCCCCGATGTTGCTTTAAGCCTTCACAAAACCATTTGGCTGAGGGTAGCTGTCAAACAGAGGGATGCTTACTACATCAAAACCAGTACCTGGGATCCCAGCATCCACTGGGCTGACTAAACCAGGACACTTCACTGAACAGCTTAAGTTGAATTCCTAGAAATCATTTGTCTACACATATTCAAGCAAATGGAATAATTTCTAAGGAGAAGTAGATTTACTGTTTTCTACAAAGGAAGAATTAACTTTGAAAACTAATGTCAAAATTAGCATTTAATCTCTGTGATGAAGCGGCCACTGTGACACTGTAATACAAACACTGGCAAAAATAGTGGCAGCACCAGACTAATCATAAACGCAAGGACATTATTCAGTAGTAATATGTTTTATGTATCATTATAATTACTTTAGTTCTGGCTCAATAAATAGAAAAACAATTTCATTTTGGTTATGCTAGTGGTTCCTTATGCCAGAAGAGATTCAGCATACCAAGATATTCTTGGTGAATGTTTAAGGCACAAAACTCCAAGTCATGCTAATGTGGGCACTGAGTCCTTGGCTAGTTCAAGAACAGGGCAATAAATGTCCTTTTTGCTATTGCCACTAACACCAACAGAAAGACAATCTCAGTTCTGATAGCCAGGTAGTTTTATAAACCACACAGTTTTAAGCAGCATCTTGTAAATCAAATGTTAGTTGAAGAAAGCATGAGAAAAGCCAGGACTGCTCCGCTCTGTTGCTATATCAGCTGTGGTCAAGGAAACAAATACGACAGGTGAATTGTCCTTTCTTGCTTTTGGTGTCTGTGGTCATGGTGGAAAAATTTAACTTCACATACGGCTGTTGGGTCTAATCTCATTAGCAGAGAGGCAGGGGGACGAGGAGAAGGAATTAACAAAAAGGTAAGTAATCCAAACCATCTAATAATGGATTGAATCTAACAAAACACTACGAAAATAAAAATGAAACAAAGTCACTTAAGCATCAAAAACATACTGGGGAAAGAAGTTCCTGGACAGTTTCTATTTTTTATGTTATCCTCAGTTCTGAAGAACAAACAGAAGAAAGCCTTGCCAATGGCCTTAGCTAGATCTTTCCAAGGGATGATCTAATTTTTAATTTCACAGCACCAAGGTGGAAGCCAGGGGCGGCGGTCAGGGATCCCCCTGTCCCCAGATCCTTCCAGACTGTTAGTCCAACTCCAGGCAATTGCTACATAATTGTGCTGTGTGCCTCTGTATAAACAATGACGATCACATTGGAGTTTATTTCATTTCAAGCAGAAGGTGCACTGTGATTTTTGGTTCTGAGAAGTCAATACAGGGAAACACAGAATAACTTAGGAAATTATACCATTCTTCAGTAAGAGAGTCAGGCAGTTCACCTATTATTTCCTTACAGGGAAAAAAAATAACCTAGCAATTTCCTGAGGAATACTGTTTAAAATTTAAAGTGTTTGGCTGATATGCATTAAAAAGACTATGCTAAGAATATGGAAAGTGCATTATAGATGACTGAAGTAATGCCATTTTTATATTTATCTTTCTTTTGACCTCCTGTGAACTTGAGAAAAAGTTTCTCTTCCAGAATCTTAAAAAAGAGAAATTCTCTAATGCACATTCAAGACAAATTGAGTTCAGATCGAGACAAGCATTTACCCAGAGTGCTTCATGTTTTGAGGCTTATCCATTCGCACGGCAAGCTTGATCTTCAGGTCTTGATCCGGGCAGTTTTTGGAAACAGTCATTTTGTGCCACTCCGATTGCTTTGGGCTATTGGGAGTAGGGTGGAGAACAACCTGCAAGCATCAAAATCAACAATGTTAATGGGAAAAATTATTCACAAAATGGGTTTTAATGGGGAACAAAAGCACATCAGATGAGCTACTTTTGTCCTAAAAGTCAGTCTGGAAGTTTCTATTCACATCAGTGAGGATGGCTTTTTCTTGCTTTTTTAAAGTACAGCTTATTATTTTGAGATTAGTTCATATATTCTTTGGCTCCTCCATCTACCGTGCCACTGTTCATGGGATTCTGCAGAACAGAACTGCATTATCAGTTCCCATCATTTAAGGAAAGACCATGGTAAACGAACTTGCAACTGTCCAAGTAAATCAATCTAGAAGTGATGGTGGACCAATACGATTAGCAAACCAGCAACAAGATTTTTGCTGAAGTTGCCCACTGCAGTCGCCCACTTTCAGACTCATACAGGTTGGTCAATCTCCAGCCTTCCTGACATTTCCCATGTGAGGTGTGCTGTTTCAAGGGCTCAGAAAGCTCTGCCTAAAATGGTTCATCTGTTGCTACTATCAGGCTGCGGGGGAGCTGGCTTGATGTTTTGCTTACTGTTAGACTGGATGCAGTAGGGGACATTTTAGGTAAGCTGGTGTGTTTGCACTACGACAGCAGATAAAATCCGCATCCCATGTCATGACATCAGTGGCTGCGGGACTCTCTGCTGCAATTTCATGCAGCGAGGAAATGATGGGACGGTCTCCAGCTGGGGTCAATCAGCACAGCGCTGACGACTGCAGTGGAGCTGTGCAGATGAACACCAATGGCAGTGCTTGGATCATCAAAGAAACTGAAAGGCTCCAAGAGGCGAATAATCTTTCCTGATCATAGCTGTGCTTGTCCCACTCACTCATTAGCCCTACGAAGCAGAGCAGCTCCCTCAGACAGCGAACCACAGAGTGTTCTCCCAGAACTACACCACAGCCACCATCTTCTCCTGGTGTTTCCCTATGTGTCCTTTGAGGTGGTTTAACCCTCTTCCCTCCCATGCCCATTCCTCTTCCGAGTCTTTCACTATCAGAGATGACTTTGCCCGGCATCAATTCATTCAAGTCTCCACTATCCTGTAGTGAGAAATTCCTTTAAATCCGTTAACCTTTACGCAAGCAAATTATTTTACAAACGGCAGCATTCACCCTCGTTATTTGCTGTGCTTCTATGGTTCATTCCTTGCTCACGCTTAGTCTGTGCTCCTGCCAAACTCCAGCCCAGACTATAATCTTGTATTCCTCTGCTCTTCAACTTTACTACTGAGTCAACAACCTAGGGGCTGTTTTCTGCCAAAATATCCTTGATGCTATTACCCTCTGATGAATGATTTTAAAATGATTTTTAAAATTATTTTATTGCCTCCTCCAAAGACTGAGGTTAACATCAATAGATTCTCGACTTCACCCTTATTCATCACGGTTATTCATGACGTCTTTTATTGAATTAGATTAATGCTTTCTCTGGTAGGAATCTGAAGCTGTTATTAGTTATGTAGATAACTGAGCAACACCAGTCTCTACTGCATCACTCTTGGAAAAAAACACACTTAAGCAAATTCTGAAGATGAGAAGCGAGTCCTCCATGAGGGGTGTTGTCAGAAACACGGATGGACCCAAACTCTGGGCAGCTTCCAAGGACCCACTGCAAGGCAGGTCACGCACTAAATCACATCTCTCAGTGAGGCAGCAGCGACTCAGGGTGTTTGGGATGCTTGTACTTTGATTTCTAACTCTTTTTCATCAAAAGGCGCATAAACATTGCTCAGTGTTGTTGTAATTCATGGCTCTTCCCCTCCTTGCTCTCAGTGGATGAAGTCTTGGCACGGCTGAAACCCATGGGAGCCTTGCCACCGGCTTCAATAGGGCCAGGATGTATTCCCATGCCTTCAGCTGCCCATCCAGCAGTTTAGGGCTTGGGAGCATTTTCCAGCTCTCCCTTCAATAAAAGTGGCGAAATGAGGAGTGCCGGCCGGTTGCCAATTTAACACTTGCAATAGAAAGTGGGCATTGTACATGCCTGGCAGAGCACAAAGCCGCTTCTCAAAGGGCAGCTGAGCATGGGTGTTTTTGTGTATAAAACCTGCTTCCCTCCTCTCTCCGTGCAGACAGGTTCGTGCCCATTCCAACAGCTAAACCAGGGGCTTAACAGGCTCCCGGTTTCATTATTTCATTAAAAAAGAAATCTTGATGCAGCCTGAGCAGACACGCGTCATCTCTCGGCTGCTCCGGGCACACCGAGCATCCCTTTGAAGTTCGGCCGACTGAAAGCACTCGTGGCCACGGGCCAGGGGAAATCACCGCCCGGCTCCCTGCGCTCGCCGCTGCTGGCCCACGTCCTGCAGACCGCAGAAGCTCAGAGCTGAGGGATGGCTTCCCACTGGACCGGGAATTAAAGTGCATTGGCGGGGCTGGCTCATCAGCGTTTCAGGGCAAGAGGGGTTGCTTTGGGGCCTGACATCTTTCTCAGAACAACATGCACAACTAATTGCTTCCCGAGACCCGCAAAGTCAGCACCGCTCATGGCTGCCAGTGGAAACAAGACTTACAAAGCAAGTGGGTCTACAGAGAGTGTAACCACTCAGGGGAAAAAGCCCTGAATGGCATCACGGCCGGCTGGGTGAAAAGCTCTGCTCAGCATGCTGCAGCGGATAAAGACAGGAACGCCGGGCTGTTTGAAGAATGAGGTTTTGAAAATAATCCTGAAAATAGTATGATGTTGTATGGCAAAGCAGCTGTAGGTCTTCGGCTGGAGTACTGCAGCCTGTTGGGGTCACCCCCGTCGTGAAAAAAGCAACAGGACAGGGAGAAAGGAAGGGTGAAGGTGTGGATGAGGAAAGTCTGAAGGGGTTGTGACTCTCTTTTACAAGATGATTGAGACAAGAAAAGAAGGGGTAACTTTGCATTTCTCTCTCTCAAGTGCAAGAACAAAGGATGTTACATGAATGTGAAAACATAAATAAGTAAAATGAACATAAATTATATGAGAAAAAAAAAATCACATGCAGCGCTCTCCACCATAAAGATATAAATTAAATCAACAGCTCACTAGGACCTGAAAGAACATTTGGCACTTGTATGAATAGGATGACTACAAAACCATGTTAATTAGGAAAAACTGTTTTACAGACACAGCCATGAAGTTAGCAAGAAACATCGTAAGAGGTTAGTCCGTGATTGTAAACACCACACTTGGTGTGCCACAGGACCAGTGGCTTTCTTGGCCATGCCAGGGCAGAGAGCAAGGTGTGCTGCAGAGCCAGGCAGACAGAGCCCAGGCTGCTCCTGGAGATAGCTCAGGCCACGCTGAGCCGTGACGTGGGAGATGCCAAGCCTGTGTGTACGGCACAGTTCCCTGAAATGGTTTTCATGGGGTCTTCACCATGCTGATCTCACACCCCTGAGGAGCTGAGGAAGGCATGGCAGGGAGTTTGCTGCCGCTTATGCCTGAGGCCAACGTAAATTTTAGAGCTGCAAAAAATCCATAGAGACTAACTGAAGTGTCCCAAAGACACAGAAAAGTGCCGTCCACAGATATTCTGAAGCTGTGGGCTGCAGCGATGGAAGGCCACTGGTCCCAGGGAGCTGGTTTAGGGACCCCAGGTGAGGGGCAGAGATGGGGTGGGAAGGTCGGCTCTGTGGCCAGTACCAGGGGAATCCAAGATCTTTACTATTAACATCATTGATGGGAACAATTTCATTCCCCAGCCCCACTGAAGCCACCAGTTCAGCCACAATCCCCAGGGGAAGCCAGGATTTCAAGCCCTTTGCAGCGAGTACCGCAGTCAGTGCTTTCAAATGCTCAAACCATGCACCGCCTGCTCAGCAGATATGAAAGCAGCTTAACACTCTCTTGCCAAACTTAAATCCCCTCTTTTTCCTTCAGCATAATCCCCTTTTCTGCCTCAGGAATGTCCATTTCCGTAAGCAACTTCTAAGGCTTTCCGGACTGCCAATATCGCACACAAGATCTTCTGCCTTTGCTGAGTGCAGGCACAGCCAGCTGAAATGCTGCCATTAAAAACTCACAACAAAGACAGCATGCGAGATGCGCTCCTTTCCAGCAGTGGAGAGCTTGCTTTTTTTCCCTCTCCTGAAGCTTGGCAAAAAAGCAGAGCATGTTGTGCTCCAAAGATATTTCCGTACAGGAGAGATTTCTCTCGAAAAGCAGGGCCAGAAGGAAACATTATTAAACTCAAAATCTCCTTACCCTCCCAAGCTCTTTGTCCTCCAGAGCCAGCACCCCCGTGCTCTCCGTGAACAGCTTCACCTTCACTGCAGGAAGTGCGTGTGTTGTCGTGAAGTCTCCTTGGGTGCCCCAGCTGTGAAAATAAGGACAGAGAGATGTTCAGCGGTGCTACACCTTGGGTGTGCAATGGTTAACCAAAAAATGTGCTGTCTGGCACAAGCCAAAGTTGCTGGGCTGAGTGACAAGGGCATTAATTATCTTCTTAGGGAAATGTGGGACAGATGTTTGGAAAAAACATGATGGTTCTTTGGGGAAAAAAGAGAGTATTTGGGAGCAGCACAAAACCAAAATTAAGAGAACTTTTTTATTTAGAAAGAACAATGCATCTTCTGCACCAACAGCCTGTATAGTCACAACAGAATTGTCCTCCAAATCCAGAGGATTGAGGACATCTGCACCTAGGACATCTGTAATCACTCATGCCTCTGCTCTTCTCTTGGCTAATTAACCTCTCCTTTCCAGGTTGATAGTGAAGTTTGCTTTCTCTGAAGAAACCCCAATTTAGCCTGGGTCCTCTTCTGAGTCCCAGCCCAGCCCAGCCCAGGTTTAAGTTCAAGCCATTACATCTAGAGTAATCCTAGTTTGCTGGGACTGCAGAGCAGGACACCAGCTCCTTGGGGATGGGACGGCAGTGGCCAGAAGGCAGCGACCTCTCCAACTACGCAATGAACCAAGACCACCGTCTACTATTTGTACTTCATGAGTCATCCCCCGGCTGGTCCTGTGGCTTGGAAAGCAGCTCTATGGTGGCTGAATGACCCTCAGTATGAGAAACTCCCTCTAGAATGCAAGTTTCTAGATGACATCTGCAAGCTCCTGCAACCACAACTGCATGAGTGTGCAGAGAACTCGTTTCAAGCGGCACCTGCAGGCACAGGGTCCCAGCCACAGTCTGCCGACATCTATGGCCAAAATTGCCATTTTAAGTCTTACAAGGGGAGCCCATCCCGCAGCTGACCTGAGTGTGGGAACTGCAGCAGCCCTGCAGCCCACCAGAGGAGATCTGGTGATGGGCCTGACCTTGTTGCCCTAGAGGTTTCCTCTCTCGACCTGGACGCTTGGGGAAGCTTTGAGGATGGAGCTCCAGTTTGGCCACAGCCCATTGCACTTTGTTTCAGGGACTTTCCTCCTGGGTCTTGTTCCTGTCCCAGCGAGCAGCATGCTGCAGCTGGCGACATCCATGAGGAGTCACCTGAGCTGTGCTGGCGAGCATCCTCACGGGATTCTTAAAGATACATGGACCTTACACAGCAGTCAGCTTTCATTTGGAGAGATCGTAGGGAAAATAAACCTGTGAAACACCAAGTCTGTTCAATATCCTAATGGCCACGGCTTTTCAAATAGGCTCATGAAGAGCCTCCACAAGTGGTGCCACTCACAACGACACATCAAATCACTCACCTGTGCTAAGGTTTTTAAGATACAGGAAAACGCTCCCCTCTGGCAAAGCAGCACAGACTGAAGAGGGTCATGGAACAAACCTTAAGTGGAACTTGAACTAATGCCTATTTGCAAGCTTTAAACAATTTTGAAAGTAGCAGAGAAGAGAATAGAAAAATACACCTTCTACGCAAAGGGGTAAAAAGTCATGGTGCTTTTATGTTTAAGACTTCACAGCTGTGTTTCAAGCTGTGTTTCTACAGTTTAGAAAATTCAAAAATTATTAAAATAAAGCCAGAGAGTAACTTCCTGACAGAGCTAAGCAAAGCACTCTTAAAACAAAGAACAGCTCAGCCAAAGATGAAGAGCAGAGGAGGACTGGGGAAGAGTGCATCACTGCAAGGAGGATGCTCCCGAGCATCTTACCATGCAGAGGTCCAACGTGAAACTAGCAGATAAGAGTTGCTCTTTTCTCTTTTTCTTTCTTTTTCTCTTTATCTTTCTCCTTGTTTTTTTTCACAATTCATTGTGAGTTAGATTTCTACATTGTTCCTGGAGACCCTGAAAATTCATCACACTTCCAACCTCATGCAAAGTGTACAAGCAAGCTTGAAGAATAATCACAGACAAGGTGCTTTTTGTAAACTAGAAGAAACCAGGAACGTGCCATGAGCAACACCTCTGAGTCATGTGATGGAACACACACTGCAAGTCTAAAACACTAAAATACTGCAAGTCAGACAAGAGATTATACCGTATCTCACTAATCACTTCTATTCACCCTCACGCTATTCATAACACTTTCTCATTTTACACTGCATTCAAACTAGATCCTCTACTGAAGAAAGGCAATTCCCTTGAAATGACCAGGAAAAGGCTCAGATGACATGTGGTCCAGCGACTAGACGTTCTTCAAACATAAATACCAAACAGCAGGTTTTGCATTTGGAAAGTTATTGGGAAAAATAACTTACATCATCCTGTGCACAAGGAGTATGGGTTTACGCTTTGCTCTCCACTGAGCAAATCTTGTCCAACCGAGCTTAGCACATGAGCGTGTTCAGCGCAGAACTGATTAACGAACTCAGGTTCTTCATCAGCTTTGCCCTGAAGTTTTCTCTCCTGCTGTAACTGTTCCACATGTATCATCTTTTATGATGATGCATCAAACTGCCACCAGTGTCAAGGAACAGAGACTTGGCATAAATTATCTACAGTACTACAGGTCCAGTCAGATCCCCAGTACTACATCTTTTTCATGTGTGATCCATCCGCTACCTAATAAATGTTTTAAACATAAGAACCAAGAAAAAAATCCTTATTTTCTAATTCCAGCTTCAGGTCACAGGTTATGTTTTGTCTCTTAAAAGACCGCATTGTCATCAGCAGGGAAAGTAGGAAGATAATCTTGCTTTGGGTAAGACACAAAAGTAAGAAATTATCCAACCTTACACTTTGTATTTTGACAGCATCTGCTTTATAGAACTCATATCTCTGTTTACTATTAAAAAGCTCTTATTTGCTGAAGCATTCCCAGACCATATGTTATCAACAAATGTTACTAACCAAATACAAACAGTAATTTTCATTAGGTTTCCTTCATGAGAACAACATCAACCACAAAGGGAATAAATGTTTCAAATGACAGTAAACATACATAGCAAACCCTTGACAACACTGTGATGCTTACATATTCATACCCACAAAAGCCCTGAAAAGATCCACGCCAACAAATAGAGACCCTCAGAAGTTGGGTTTTGTGCAGGTTGAAGCCTGCGGTGATGTCATTAGTTGCCATAGTGATGCTCAGCATAAGGCCATAATTCATGTCACTGAAACATCATTTGTATTCAATCTAAGTATGCAGTTTATCTGTGCTGTGTATTAAACTATTGTTCAGAAATTTAGCTCTGGACAGTAGTTAGGTGTTAGGATCTTCTGAGGGACTAACAATGTAATGGCTTCATTTCTGTATTTAATAATTAAGCAAGTTATCACTGCAGGAGTTTATTTGTTGGGAAACTGCCTTAGGACCCATTCTGGACAAATCTTCTCATGAAGTAGCCATGCTATCTTGTCCCCATATCATGGAGCTCATGCTGATGCTTCGAAGCAATAATACATCTGCACATGAGGACAAATAATGTCATTCTGGCCAAAAGGATACAGAGACAGAGACAGATAGATAGACAGACAGACATGCGCCACGGGAAAGTAGTACACAAGCAGAAAAATTCTGACAGTACTTTCTCAGTTAGGACCATATCAACTATCTGAATCCCACCTGAAACCCTCAGCCCAGCATTTCTTATTGCCCACTGTATCCCAAAGCCTGGAGCTGACCAAGAAATGCTGCCGTGCATAAGGACTTTGCTAGAATTACCACCCTACTTACAGCATCTCTGCTGTTCTAGTGGTTTCACTAGGATCTACTTGTGTCTCCAGGGTTTCTAGTTTGGCATCAAACTTAGGGTGAGTAGCTAAACTCTTCTGGCTGAAAAGAGCCAGAGGATGAGGTATGCCTCAGGTACTAACTTAATAAATGTTGGCCCTTGTTCTACCTTATACAAGCAAAATAAGTAGATCACTTTGTGTCTACAGATTCACCCAGAGGTGCCATCACAGTTACTAACCAAACAGCTTAAGGTGCTGAGATTTTTTTTCTGAATGAAACATAACATGACACATGTCCAGAGTGGACAACAAGGGACAAAGATCAGCTTTGTCCCCCACTACCTCCATGGGCTCATCTAACACGGAGCACTTGAAGGATGGGCTGACCTGTCTGATTTCAGGAGCATTTGGGAGCTCTCGCAGGCACTGCCCTTACTGGCACACGGAGGGAAAGTGATGCCATTGCCCATGCAGGTGCCAGGCTGCTCGGACCAAGCTGCTGTCAGCTGTTTCAAGCAACATGCTGGTGATCTTCTGGCAAACCTTCAGGTTCAGCCCTTCCCAACTTATGGACAAAACATGTAAAACCACCTAGGCTCCTCACCTTGCTGCTGCACCAAGTTTTTACCCTTTCCCTGTATAAAGTCACTGCAGAAACAACTGTCTTCATCCTATGGATGTAAAGTGCTTTATATCCTGATCTTTGGCGGTAGCCTCTGAGTGCTACGAAAATGCAGACATGGAAATTATAAAGCTAAATTACTACTTAGTAAAAACTACTTAGTAAACATAGACAAACGGACAAAATCATTCAAACACCACAACACTGCTATGTTACAGTGTGTGATTAAAAAAATACTTGGGATATGAATAAAGCTTGAGCAAAACCCTGCAAGGGTCCTTGTCCTGACTGCACTTATGTATCGCATAAAACCAGGCAGCAGGGTCTCTGGCTCCAGCGGCTTTTCTCTACGATATCCCACTTACGGGGCCTAATCCACGATTTTCTCAGCTGTCCTTGAGAGACATTGACTTAGTCATTTCTATTGAATGTGTAAGTTCCTGTAAAGGAAATTCTAGCACCTACGACCTTCCCAAAAGTGAACATACATGTTAATACCAGGAGAATGCATTAAATTCTTTCATTCATGTACTGGTCTCCAGCAAGTCTGCTTAGTCCCCACCTAATTTCAAACAGTAACCCTCCTTCCATCATTGCTCTTATAACCTGATGTGGTCAGAACATTGATGCCTGTGATTTCTATAAATAATGAACAAACACAACTGAATTATATTGCC